TGAGTAGTTCACTTCAACATTTAAAAATGGTTTGAACTAACACACTTTGATTATCAAACATTTGTAAAATAGTAATGATAATAGAAAAGAGAGTGTTCTTTCAATTGATCAGTGCAGGACACTTAGAAAGTCTTCTGGATGGACTTGATTTTGTGTTTCTGGACTCAAATCAATGAAATACAGTTCTTGTTTCAGGCAGGCCCTCAAGGCCAGATTTGACCTGAGGCCTAGTTCACTACAGTAATGGTAAATGGACTGTACTTATATAACATTTCTACTGAGTGGAGGAGTAGTGAGCTGGCTAAGCAAAAAACAAGCAACGGTTACACTTTCAACAGCAGAAGCTGAGTATGTTGCTCTCAGTCAAGCATCTCAAGAGAGTACCTGGCTGAGAAGATTACTGATTGATCTTGGTATGGTTGCAAAACCTACAGTGATTCTGGAGGACAATCAACCATTGAAATAGCAAAGAATCCAGTGGACCATTCAAGAACCAAGCACATAGACATTCGTTATCATTACATCCGTGAGTGTGTGCAGAATGGTGAAGTCAAGTTGGAACAGATGACATGAAGGCAGATATCTTGACAAAGCCTCTTTCAAGACAGAAGTTTGAGTATCTTAGAAGAGAGACTGGACTTTTTCCAATGTAAATTTTTGATAGAACGTCTTGCTATGTAGTTTTGTTATAAAATGGGCTTTTTTTTTGTCGTTGAATATAGCAAGACAAGTTGAGTTAAATTTATTATTTCAGCAATGTTTTGTTTCTTAATACCATTTTTTTAATTAAGTGGGAGTGTTGAAATATGAAGCAGTAATTTATTTAATGGTTAAGGGAAAGGCTCTTATGCTGTCATCTGCTGTGTCGTCTGAGTACTGCAGATGTACTGTTAAGTTCTGAGAAAAAAAATAAAAAGAGCACATGCTGACACGTCTGTTCTCATCAGGAACTGTATGCCATATAGTTGCTGTTTTTTAATCTATCGCTTCCGTAGCTTTAACAATAAGTAGAAAATATTTGTACATGATTTGAAGGTGTTTTCATTTATACTTGTTTGTCTCTGACTAAGAATGAGCACTTTTATATCCTACATATTTTAATTCAGACTGCTTATTTTTAATATTTTCAGATGGAGTAGTATTCAGCTCATTACTTGATGTGTTTATATGGTTCCACATGTGAAATGTGACTTATCAATTCTAATTCTTTCTATCCATAACACTTTCTCTTTCAGAACTTTTGGATCTACAGCCGTTACCAGTGACGGCTCTGGGGAACCTGGAGTATGAGAGTCTGTATAAGTTCACTCACTTCAACCCCATCCAAACCCAAATCTTTCATACTTTGTATCACACGGACACCAACGTCTTGCTAGGAGCACCAACGGGCTCTGGGAAAACCATTGCAGCTGAGCTGGCCATGTTCCGGGTCTTTAACAAGTATCCATCTTCTAAGGTTAGACTCTTTCTATCTCTTTGTTGCTAGCAGTACAGATACTATTTTTTACTAAAGTTATGTCGTTGTTTTCTCAAATAGAAGTTTACCTTTATACTTTTCATAGGAGAAACACAAATACTAAATTCAGATTATTATTTGTGTCAGTTTTTGAAACAAGTCTGTTTTCAGCTTGTGTTTTTATCTACATTATTTTTATCACTTCATTAAGATAGAGTGGATTGCAAAAAAAAAGGGTGGGGGTGGGGGAGTTGCTATTTACATCAGAGAAATCCTGGATTCTAGTCATTTGTCAGCCAAAACAATCCCAAACCAATTTGAGGACTTAGCTGTAAACATCATTTTGAATCAAAAAATCCATGCTCAGTAATCCAGGTATACAATCCAAAAATTTTCAGTCAGGTCATCTGGACAGTTTCTTTTTGTTTTCTGAAACGTTTCACCTTCCATCCGGAAGGCTTCATCAGTCAAGGAAACACACAACACAAAACTGATTCTTCTTCCAAACAGCTTACTCCAAAGTGGAACAAACCAGTTATGTTGGTGCTAAGATGGTGTCTTTGGCACGCATCCTCCTCTGGAGCCAGCCCTCTTCCTGGTCGACTGTCATGTCAAACTGGTTCAAAACCAAAACAGTCCATGCTCAATAATCCAGGTATACAATCCAACAATTTTCAGTCAGGTCATCTGTACAGTTTCTTTTTTTTTTTTTTTTTACTGAAACGTTTCACCTTCTATCCGGAAGGCTTCATCAGTCAAAGAAACACACAACACAAAACTGATTCTTCCCCCAACAGCTTAAGCTGTCGGGTTTCAAGAAACAACCCAGCACAACGACTGCTTCACTGAAGGTCTTTAACAACATTGTTGAAGCACTGGATACTAAGGATTATTGTGCTGCACTTTTCTTAGACCTGTCTAAAGCTTTTGACACTGTGGATCATAACATCTTGTGTCATAAGTTCTTAGAAATTGGTTTCTCAAATCACACCATTGGTCGGTTCTCTAACTATCTTTCAGATCGTAGGCAATGTGTTCAACATAATAATACTTCCTCTCATTATTTAAGTCAGCAATGGTGTATCACAAGGCTTAGTCTTATGACCCACCCTCTTTACAATCTACATAGGTAATGTAGGTCAGAGCATCCCTGATACATCCTTACATTTCTATGCTGATGACACAGTTGTTTATTGTCGAGCTAAATCAGTTGCTAAGGATTTCCAGCTTTTGTAATCCACCTTTGACATCATCCAGTCTGATTTGTTACATCTCAAGCTTGGCCTAAATGCCAACAAAACCATAGGGATGTTTTTTTTCAAGTAGGAAGTTGGTCCCAGCAGTTCTTCCTCTGATTTTACCCTCAAATGGTGTTCCTATTGAGTTTGTTAATTCCTATAAATATTTGGTTATCTTGGTCGACTCACATCTCTCTTTTAGGTTTCACGTGGAAAACCTAGTAAAGAAACTGAAAGTTAAACTGGGTTTCTTTTTCAGAAATAGATCCTGTTTAACTCTGAATACTAGGAAACGCCTTGTAACTGTGACTTTCCTTCCCTCTACTGACTACAGTGACATTATTTTCATGAACGCTCCTACAAGCACCTGCAGATGTTGGATGCTGTCTATCACGGTGCATTAAGATTCATAACTGGCTGTGGTTATCGTACCCGCCACTGCACCCTCTATTCACTGGTTAACTGGACATCATTAAATTCTGATGCATGCTCAATAATCCAGGTAGAAAAATCTAAAAAAGTTAAATCTGGTCCTCTGGACATTCCAAAAAAAAAAAATAAAAAAATAAACATTGTAGAAATGTTTTATCTTTCATCCGAGAGACTTCCTCAGTCTGAGGTGCTGTATTCAGCTC